CCTGACTGCGCGCCTCTGCCCATACAGGCCGTGTTCCCTGACTACGCGCCTCTGCCCATACAGGCCGTGTTCCCTGACTACGCGCCTCTGCCCATACAGACCGTGTTCCCTGACTGCGCGCCTCTGCCCATACAGGCCCGTGTTCCCTGACTATGCTCCTGTGCTCACTAGGGCACACAGGCCGTAGGCTGGCTGCTCTCCAATCCGACACCTGCTCCCTCCTCCTTCTCCTCCTAACCCGCACCGCCTTTCTTCCTGGCTCCGTCTCCATTCCCCGACTCCGGCCCCCCAGGCGCTCGTCTGCACCCCTGTCATCTCCATCCCTTGGCTATTTTTGTGCTTCCCGAACTTCAGGGATTATTACTCATTAGCATCTCCAGGACAAACAAGCCGGCTGTGGTGTCACGACTTGCGTGGTGGCGGGGGTGGAGGGGTCGCCGGGAGGGGCGGTGGGCGGTGGGCAGAGAGTGCCGCTGGAGCCGCTGACACAGAAGGACGGGGCGGAACAGGCGGGACGGGGGGCGCGCGTTAGCCTTCAGCGCCTGTGGCGTTCAGACATGGGGATATACACAGCTATAAGCAAGCAAGAAGGAGGAAAGGCAGACACCAGCCGACAGCCACGTTCATACAACACGCCCAAGCGCACGCGCACACACACGCACACACACACGCGCATGCACGCACGCACGCACACGCACACACACACACACGCGCACGCACACACGCACGCACGCGCCACGGGCAGCCATCCAGAGCACAGGACAGTGAGTACACTACACTGAGGACAGTCATTGGCCAGGATCCTCTGCATTCACAACGTAGGCACTTCTGTGAGGGTGTGACGGGGGGCTCTCAGCTGTGGCCAGATTAATGAGCATGTAAATGACAGGCACCAATTGGGGGGGGTCGGCGGCCTGGGGGTGGACGAGCTGTCACCACTGGAGTAAGGCAGGGGGCTAATCAAGGCGCGGAAGCCAGCGTGGCCTGAGTGTGTATTACTGTGTGTCAGAGTGTGTGTGTGTGCGTGCATGCGTGTCTGTGTGTGTGTGTGTCAGAGTGTGTGTGTGTCTGTGTGTCAGCGTGTGTGTGTGCGTGTCTATGTGTCAGCGTGTGTGTGACTCACGCATCCACTTCTGGCAGCAGGTCCAGCTTGCTGGGGAAGATCTCAGACAGCAGGACTCTGAAGAAGGTCTTACCCTGAGCCTGAAGCAGGGACTCCAGGTGCTGGGGGGGGCAGAGAGGGGGATGAGGGGAGAGAAAGAGAGGAAGACAGAGGCAGAGTGAGGGAGAGAACAAAAGGAAGAGAGGAAGAGAGGGGGAGCAGAAAAAGAAGAGACAAAGAGGGGGAGAGAGGAAGTGAGGGGGAGAGGTAGAAAGGGGGAGAGAAAAGAGAGGAAGAGACAAGTGGACCAAAAAAAAACTAAATTAGAATCAAAAAGGCCCATCGAAAAGTGGTGCATCCTAAAGTAAACTGCACCGTAAAACAAAGACCTCTTCTGTGAGAGAAACCAGACGACACGCATGCAGGCCGCGGTCACGCCAACGAGCAGTGAGGAATGCATATCATAATAAAATCAGCATGCCACCCCCCCTCAACTTTCTGAGCCGGGTCCTAATCAGGGGGGAGCGCTGCTGTTTGGTGAGCTCATCCCGGGCCTGTTTTGAGTTACACAGGAGCACTGAAGGCGTGATATGCTGTTTCTGGAAAACACCAACACGGCCCAGCAAAGAGCTCAACGTATATAACCTTGTCATTTTGGTTAGAGGCAAACAATTAAGTACAGATGGATCGGACATGAGTCATGCCATTAGACAGGGGAGCGCTGGCAATTAGGCGGAGTGAGAAGCGGGGCCTGGGTTTCCTGTAAGCCCCAGTGTGTCATGATTCAGAGGCGCGGCGGCCACTAGGGCGTGGGGTCCCGTCTCACACGTTACCGGACGCACAACGCTGACAGTGTCATCAGGCTGTCTGCACACTGCAGTGCCGGGAATATCCACACAGCATCCAGCGGGATGACGGGCCGGCCGGGGCGCTCGCTTTCAGATCTCCGCGACAGGCGGGTGGCCCTGCCTCGCATACCAATTAGGGGAGCGAAGGAGGATAGGCTGGGGGGGGCTCAGACACTGTCGCAGGCCGAACAGGAGAGAGCCGCGCTGTCGGGAAGATCAAAAGCGGCCGAGAACAAAGGCAAGGCGGCAAAAAGACGGGACCCTCCGCCCACTTCTGCCAGGAAATCGATATGCGCCCTCTCCCTGCTCCCCCACAATCCCAGAATGCCCGGGGAACTCAGAGGGACACGCAGCAGACATCTCCAGGCCAACTGCTCTAGGGTGACACAGCAGTGCCTGAGGTGCCTCCCCACCCCCCCCAGGGAAAATCACACAGGGTACAGCTGCTCCGGGTTCGAGTTACACCTCCACGCATCTCAGACCTTAAGCAGCCTGCGGAGAGCCTCCCATGTGGCCTACATCCTCACCCTAGAAGGGCAGGGAGCCCTCGATGTGGAGAGCTGCTTTCCAGATCACATCCAGCCATTACATCTATGCCTCAGTGACACAGAGAACAAGGTCGACTTTCCTCAGCCCTGCAGTATTTCTCTGATGCTTCTTGCTTCCCCTAACAGCCTGTAAAAGCGCTCTTCTCTTCCTCATTACAAGCTTTAAATCCACTCTGAACTGCTTTCCTGCTGAGGGCCACTGGAGGGCGTGGCTGCAGGCTCACCTCCAGCACTTTGGGGCTGCCCTGGCGCCCCAGAGTGCCCAAGATGAGGCCCCAGGTGTGGGCGGAGCGGGCGTCCTCGGTGGCCTTCCGGCGGGCGGCGCGCATAGCGCTGTGGTCATAGTATTCCCGGGAGAAGACCTTGCTGTAGGGGTCATACCTGCATGTGCACAGAAATGGCCGGTGAGGATGTGCACACGTGTACACAGCACTCTCTGACACACATGAGTGTGACAGCGCACACACTGCTGTCTACCTGCCCATTGTGGTCACATGACAGGTCACATGACTTACCTGTAGGCAGGTGTGTCTGGGTTGGAAATCATGATAGATTCTAAATGGAACCGTCCATCCCCAAGATAACTAGGTACAAAGAAATAAAACTTCTGGTTAGTGGCTAACTAACCAATTCAACACTAACCATCTTCAGAGACCCCTGCAGGACTATGAACATCTTTGCTGCCACGCACACAGAGACATGGGCTCTCCTACTGTTAAAATGCAGTGTGTCCCCTGTGTCACCAGGAAGGGGTAAAAGAATAATGGGTGCAAATATCGTGGGGCGGGGGGGGATCTCACATGATGGCATTGACTGGGTGCTCCAGGCGGGGGGACGTGCAGCCCAGGATCTCCCCGGGAGACAGGGGGCGACACTGAGGCACCAGAACATTGTACTGGGGACGCAGCTCAGCGCTGGTGGACTGGGGGGGGGGGGGGGGAACAACGGAGCAGGAGGAGAGGGAAAGACAGACAAATGCAGAGTCAGGATAGTGTTCGGCAAAGAGAGCAGCCCATGTGTTGGAGGTCTGATGCAGGTAAGCGGACCCCGCACAGGTCACACTCAAAACTGCCCCCCAGGGTAAATTTTGCACACCCCCCCCCCCATACAGAACAACATGCAGAAGGCTGCTGCTGGCTAGCCATCCTCACAGGCGATGCTGGGTTCTGTAAACCCTGACAGGCGTGACGGACCGACGGAGGTCAGCGTCCTGACGGGAGAGACGGACCGACGGAGGTCAGCGTCCTGACGGGAGTGACGGACCGACGGAGGTCAGCGTCCTGACGGGAGAGACGGACCGACGGAGGTCAGCGTCCTGACGGGAGAGACGGACTGATGGAGGTCAGCGTCCTGACGGGCGTGACGGACTGACGGAGGTCAGCACCGGCACAGGGGACAATAAGGGCTGTAAAGCTCCTCATTTCTGCTCTCAGCTTCCTCGAAGGGCCAGCAGGTGGCACAATAGTTAGCAAGACTTGAAGAGAAGGTTCAGACTCCGCCGTGCCCCGGCCAAGGGTGGAAATTCACCTGCAGCGCGGCCACAAACTGGATGGTGCTGACCAGTGCCAACGAGTAGCCGGCCGGGAAGTTGAAGCGCAGTGTGTCCAGGAAGTGGGCCGTGTCCAGCTGGATGTCGACAAACACGTAGAGCATGTTCATCCCGGCCATGGAGTCGATGGGGACTGAGGAAGGCAAGGCAAAGAAGGGTTAGAGAGGCTGGGGTGAGAGTGTGTGCGGAAGGGGGGTGGGGGGGGGGGGGGGGGGGGGGGGGGGGGGGGGGGGGGGGGGGGGGGGGGGGGGGGGGGGGGGGGGGGGGGGGGGGGGTTAGGGTTCAGGGCGAGCGGAAGGGACAGCATCTGTTATGCACAACATCTAAATGACCCCAGACGCTGGTATTTTCAAAGCTGTCAAAATGAAAAACACACACTGTGTCTCCGGAAGAAGCACAAATATGAATTAGTATTTTAGGAAGGAGAAGAAAAGAAGGATCAGAGGATGAGTGCAGAGTGGGAGGGGCAGGGGAGGATCAAATTATCTGAGTATAATTATTTTGATTTTGTGCTGAATGAGCCTGATTAAGCTTCGACACAGGCCTGTACGCAGATCCGTCACGCTGGCAGAGCAGCACAAACGGAAACAGCAGAGCAGGGCGGCCAGTTGAGGTGATATGCAAACAGAGCCCTGGTCGACACTGAAGGCTGAAAATTAGCCACTGTTCACTGATGGAAAACAAGGAGGCCGGAGGCTGAATGGTAATCGATCCCAGATGAGCTGCCAGGCCTGACAGGTGCTAAGTCAAGCAATTATCACCTGCACCAGTGTGTGAGAGGGTAAACACACACATACACACACACACACTAACAGATACACACTTACGCAGACACACACACGCAAATGCATGCACACAAACACGTACGCGTGCACATGCAAACACACACACAAAAACACACACGTGCAAACACAAACGCACACACATGCAAACACGCACACACAAACATATGTACATGCAAACACAAACACGCACATATGCACATGCTACCACACATATGTGCATGCAAAACGACACAAGCAAACGCACACAAAAACACAAGCATGCAAACACACAAATGCACACACATGCAAACATATGCACTCACACACACATGCACACGCAGACACAAACACGCACTTGCACAAGCAAAGCCGCAGGCAACAGAGGAGGCAAGTACCGTGAGAGAATGAAAGAGAAAAAGAGGGAATGAGAGAAACAGGAAAACGGAGAACAAGGCAAAGAGGGAGGTAGGGAGGGGGTGTCAGTCAGCAGCGGCTTGCTTTGGTCCCACACAGGTGTCTGACATGCTTACAGATACTGTTTATGATTGCAGGCAGAGTCAGGGCAGCGCTGTGTGTACGCGTGAAACACCTGCGCAGAGGAGGGACCACCTGCGCAGAGGAGGGGGAGTCGGAGGGCAGGATCACACCTCTGTGTCCCACCCCTCCAGCATATTCCCCATCTCTCCACTTCACCCCTGACATATATACAGGGAGCAGCACCCACCCCCGCGCTCGGGGTGATCTTACTCTAACCTTCCAGGGTTACGCGCTGCGCAGCCCCACTTTAATATTCCCTCGGACCCCGGCGGCATTTCACATCTCTGTGCTGCTTCTGTCGGTGCCCTATTGAGGCTAATGATTCAACAGCTCCGGCCTCGGTCCCTGTTTTACCGCCGATAGTGAGCATTGCTCGAACTTGCGTGCATGAGTGTGTGAGTGTCCTTCCAATCAGGCACTTAAATGTCTGGCCTCTCCCTGGTCTTCGCGGGACTTTTCTCACCATAACTCGCCATCACGTTGCTGCAGTGAAAGCCAGGACACAGGGCAGTGTGATGCATAAAGATGGAGAGAGGGCTAGGCTAGGTGTGCGAGCTGGCCAGGGCCCGGCCCCTGGAAGTCATGTGACTCACTGAGGCAGCTGTGTCCATAGTGAACCAGGAAGTCGGCGCCGAGGGCCCGGGCAGTGAAGTCATCCACGCAGCAGGCTCCGTACGTCACGTCCCCCATGATGACGACATCAGCCTCCGTGAACCTGAGGGACAAATCGGGCAGCAGCGTGACCGGGGGTCACCTGACAGGTCAGGACACCTCACCCATCTCTCGCACTTCTGCTGGACGGGACAAACTGCAGGAAAACGTCCCCGCAAAAGATGCGGAGTCTGGAAGATGGACGCTAGGGCATCCAGGCCGCCAGCTACTGTCCAAACGATGAAAACGCTTAAAACTGACGTTCAAACTTCTCATGCCTGTCGGTTCTACTGGTTTTCAGGAAAACACAGAGTCAGTGCAGCTGAGCGGCAGGGACCTGGCAGCAGGAACCTTTAAAGGCGGGGGTGCGGGGAGGGGGGGGGGCATACACCTCTTTCTGGGTTTAACTGATGACATCGCCAGTGTCCCGCCAGGTTTCATTACAACTCTGTGACTCTAACCCTCAACTGTTTTCATCTGGCAGCTGCACCCGCCCTCCCCACCCCCCCCGCTGTCGTTTGCCCGTAAGGGAGGGGCTGTGTATCGGGGGCGGCGCGCTCCTCTGAAGGACGCCACGCCGGAGCACGCTGACAGAGAGGCTCGGTGCGTAAATCAATATTTACATCACGAGATTTTGTTTACAGAGCCCTTCTGCTGCTGGTAGGTTGGTGGGGGTTCATGTGGCTCTGTAAGCGTGTCAGAGACTTCAAAGGCACAGGAGAGAGATGGGGGGGAGCAAGGGGACAGAGGTGGAGAGTGACAGATGGGGAGAGAGAAGCATGGCCCATGACTTGTTTGCGTGCTTTTGTGTGTTTATTGTTACAGTCTCTGTTTGCTGACCCAAGCCGGCTGCGCAGATGACCGGCAAAGCCCTGCAAAGCCCGCTATAACGGCACACAAGCGGCGTCTCCCTCGTAAGTGGATGGGAGGACGATAAATGGAGAGCAAAGAGGAGCAGAGGGAGTGGCGGTATCACCTCCGAGGCTCCTCCATCTGCTCCCGAAGCCGTCAGCTGCGCCACGTGCCGACTGCACATCATTACCACCCTCTTATGGAACAACTGCGCAGTCAGAATGACATTAAGATGCTATTAAGATGTGAGGCTGTCAGTAAGCGCTTTTGGAAGGCGGCGTGATCACCGCCTCCATGACGGGCGGCCGGGGCTGTCGGCAGGACGCAGACGGGAGCGCGTGCAGGAGCACACACACTCAGACACACTGAAGAGGCCCCCCCCCCCGGGTCACACGGCCCGGCAAACGGCCCCATCTTCACCATTCGCTTCCTTGACCACTCAGCTGTGTCCTTGAGCCACACGATTCGCTCACTAAGCCTCAAACCGCACACACATACCGACAAAATGAATGTTCACGGACAGCCACAGTCTAGCAAAGGCTAAGCACATTGTTATTTCCAACAAATTACGAAAGCAGGCTTAATGTAAATTAAAAAATTCCCAACATCCATCTGTTCGCCACCATCTGAGGGAGAGGAAACGATGGGGTGTCGCGCGGAAGCGAGAAAATAAAATCGGCTTCGGCAGCCGGGGATGCGAGATCCCCATTTGAACAGAAGGTGGCGTGGCGGTTAGAGGCACAGTCTGAATGTGTGCAGAGGAACTGCTATGCTGCCACTGACAAATGAGAAAAAGTCACAATAAAATCTGACGCCCAGAAGGTGCTAGAGCACCACCGGATGGAGTGACAAGCAGCTGCACGTTGTGTCACTTGCAGCGTATGCAGAAGACTGCCAAGCCGCATTCCCAGTTCCCCACACAGCGAGGTGTGACTCCACCGTGGGGGCCAAGCAATCGCCTCCAGAAAAGAGAGAATCTCAGAGACGAACCCGCAGATTGACGGACAATTAAATTACAGTTTTTATTGGAGATTATAAGCCCAGCCTGAAAACAGCAATTACGGAAATCTCAGCAGGATGTAAAAGCCAGGCATCGCGAATGCGAGGATACCATGTGATGGAAGGGGCCGGACGCGGCCCCCTCCCCCTCCGGGGGAGAGGATAAGGCGGGTGTGTGGAGTTTCAAAGCCACCACACTGGTGTGTGTTTATGTCCCTCACACTGTGTGAGAGGGAAGCGGAGGGAGTGTGTGTGTGTGTGTGTGTGTGTGTGAAGAAGGGAGAGAGGGAGAGAGAGAGAGAGAGAGAGAGAGAGATGAACATAAAAGACGAAGGAAGGACTGAATGTGAGAGCGGCTGAGCCCCTACCCACATGGTAGAGCTATACAGACACAGCTCTGTCCGGGCTGCTCTCCCCAATGTGCTCGCAGACTCCCTGCTAAACATGCCTATTAAAATGCAAATTTAGACAGTCTCAATTCCCCCACTCATCTCAGCTTGCGGGCGAGAACAAGCACTGCCCCGCCTCTCTAGAGCACACCTTTCTTTCCCCGCCCACCCTGCTACACTCTCAAAAATCTTCCCTGGGAAGTGTTGCATAAAATATAACCCCTTGGGAAGTACTCTTTCCCAAAAAGAGTTCCCCTAAAAGTACTCCCCTCCGAGGCCTTACCCAAAATGTCCAGCCGTCGTGTGATGTGGGTTGGGCCTGGAAGTCCTGCAGTAATTTCAGCCCCACCAGCAGGTGGCATTAATACCCACCGGGACAGTACTTTTATGAACGGACAGGGTGCAAAACTGCAAGCTTTCAGGGTAATCGCAGCTTCAGTTCACTGATGTCTGGGGCACTGTACTCATGCTGGCACCAGTGACAGGATTGTGGAATAATTCCAACCCGCCGTATGCGTGAACCCACACGGGCAAACACTGGGCAAACACTGCCTACTGCTCATTTGTGTCCCTTGGTAGTGTAACATACACCGACATCACACTGGAGCCAGTGAACAGGGTAAGAATACAGAGGGAGCCGATTGCTTACCCAGCACTGCATTTGCATACAGGGGGTGCTGGTGTGGGATTCCTGCTCGCTGCAGCAGGGGGGGACATGTCATTTGAAGGAAGATGGGTCCTCTGTCCCCACACGCAGGAATTAGGTTAGGTGTGTGAAATATTTATTAGCCGCACCTGGTGAACACTCATACATCTCCCCCCCCGCCCCCCGTCTCAGGACACCACAGAGTTACGCTGATGTATACGGCCATTTGGGGAGGGAAGATGAGGGAATCAGCCAGGGGGGGACAGGAGAGACAGAGGCAGACGGGGAATAAGGACAAAATGAGAAGGAAAACTGGGATTGGAGAGACACTGGTACTGGGGTACTGGACCTTCTGTGGGGGGGTGCAGCTGAGCCTTTCAGCCTGAGGGTGGGCAGAATGGTCACTTTCACACCTGTTTCACATGAGAAGTTCATGCACTGGGAAGTCACCCTGTCCCCCCCGTCCCTCACCCGCCCCTGCAAGAGCCCACCCCCAGACCCATGGGAAACCTCTGCTCCTGCCAGACCCCGCCCCCAGTCTCACAGGAAAGCGCCGCCCCTGCCAGACTCCGCCCCCAGTCTCACGAGAAAGCTCCGCCCCTGCCAGACTTCGCCCCCAGTCTCATGGTTAAGCTCCGCCCCTGCCAGAGTCTGCCCCAGTCTGTGTGCCTCGCCCACCTTCCCCACATTTCCCCCTCTCCCTGTCTGCCTACACCTCTCTCTCCCTCCCCCTTTATCTCCCTCCCTCTTTCCCCCCCCCCCCCCCATAACACACAAACACCCACCTGCAAACCCACACAGGCACTAAACCAACACACCCACAGACACACACGCAGAAGCCCAGTGGGATCACTAGACACACAGCATTTTATCAGCAGGCTTGGTTCATCGCAGCCCCCCCCCCTCCAGGTGTACGGAGTCTCTCCTCTCTAAACACAAATTCCCTGCCTTCCAGCATTTGGGACTTAAAAAAAAAAACAACTGCTGTAGGTGCCATTATCCTCAGCCCCCGACCCACACCTGACATTCATTACTGACACAGCTTCCCCCCACCAAACACGCCTCCCCCCGGTACCTGGAGCACCCCCCCCACCCTCATCCTTGTTGCCTCTGACCTGTTAATCGTTCCTGAGATGCTGTTAACGCCGCCAAAATGTCCCCACAGGGCACCTGGTACCAGCCACCCCCACGTCTCCACAAGCACACATGGGACCCAATAAAAAAAAACAAGAGTAGCAGACGAGTGGCCCCCTGTCATCGCGTCACTTCCTGCTCTTCAATGATTGGCCGCCTCTCTAACTCGTCCCTGCTTTAATTATGTTTTTCCAGCTTGCGGGTGAGCCTCATGCACAAATCTGACTCCCAGCCCCCAGATGCCTGTGATGATTTAATTAGCAAACAGAGGATGTTGCTGCCCCCCGGCCCGTGACAGGGATCGACAGTGGGCTGAGACCCCATCCCTGCTTCCACTGGCTGACCTCAGGTTAAGCATCTTACAGAAGGCAAAGCCTGAAAGCCAGTTTAATGTTTAACCTTTGGCTCAAACGGGCGCCTCTGTGCCCTTGTGCCGGCTCAGGACACTGCCGTCTCCTTGCACCTGTGATTATGGGATGTTGTCTCAGCTGGCAGCTGGCACCGGAGGATCGTTACTGCTTTACCGGTGACTGGCACACTCAGACCCGTCAGCGCCAAGAGTCCGGCAGGATGAAGTGAGAGAGAGAGACGGAGCGATAAGGGGACAGAGCAGCTGATTAGAAGCCTGTGATTAGCCAAGTGGCTTCTGAACAGCTGGACCCAGGTAAGAAACAGCCATACTGTTGCCCCCCCCCCCCACAGCGCAACGTGACACACGTGCTCTCCCACGACATTAATGTCATACGCCAACTTTGGGGGGGGGGGATCTGACACAAGGCGTGAAAAGGGCTGAAAGAGATACAGAGATGAAGGTCAAATATGGAAAGTTAGGGTGGGGGGTGAGTGTCTGTGGTCGGCAGTGGGTGTCCGGGAGCGGCCTGCTGTGTGACACCCACCCTCATGAAAAAGGGGACCTCAGCCCTCTCCCTAACTGGATTATTAACACAGACCACTGATAACAGCAAGCAGCTGACAGGAGGGAAAGATGAAATAATAATTAAAAAGAAAGAGAGAGAGTGAGAATCACCATGAGAAAGAGAGAGAGAAAGGCGGAGCAGTCACAGGAGAGAGCAACGAACCGCCTCTCCCTCGCTCTGGTCCCTGGGCTTCAGGTGGCTGGCCCACACACACACTGATCGCCACGGAAACACGCCAGTCACCCGCGGCAACACAGATCAGCATCCACGTCTCGAACTACTGCACTGATCGACACTTTCCAGGTTTCATTCAGCAGCGAGTTGCTTTCCATAATGAGCGTTATGCAATTAAAATCGCAATCGGGGGGGTACCTATTTTCCAGCAGCAGTGAGCACGCATGTGTGTTTGTGCGATCGCACGGCAAATAGAAAGCAAACAGACACAATTAAACGAATAATGGATTTTCCTCTTGAAGAAGCAGAGCACCGATTTGTGGAATGTGTAAGCAGTCTTGTCTAATTTCCCGCTGAGCCTCAGATCTCTGGCATGTGTAAGCAGTCCTGCCTAATTTCCCGCTGAGTCCCAGATCTTTGGCATGTGTAAGCAGTCCTGCCTAATTTCCCGCTGAGCCCCAGATCTCTGGCATGTGTAAGCAATCCTGCCTAATTTCCTGCTGAGCCTCAGATTTCTGGCCACAGAATAAACAACAATAAATCCCAGTCCCAAAACCCATTTCCCATTGTCTTACATCTTCAAACCAACCCTTAGTTGACCCTACCCCCCCAAGCAATACCCACATCCCACAAAACCCACATGCAACACTAACCCCGCCTCCACCCTTAGCCACACCCTGGCCCCGCCTACCTCTCAATGATGTCAGAAATCACGCAGGCGAACATCTGAAGCCCCTCTGGCAGCTGCACCGCCACTGGAACCGAGAAGGGCAGGGTTAAAGGGGGAGGGCAGTATTAAAGGGACAAAATGGCATTAAAGGGGTGGGACAGCATTAAAGGAAAGGAATGACATTAAAGGGGCAAGGTGGCATTAAAACACGAACAGTGCTGACCCGAGGAAAATCACACACGCGCACACACTTCTACACCAAACACAGATGCCCCTCTTTCAGCCTCCCGAATTCCCCCCCCCCCCCAGTTTGTCAGCAGCAGGCGCCCTGGGGCAGCGGCCCCCCGCCCTGCTGAGAGTGCCTTGCTCCACTACAGGAGTCACGTCCTGAAAGGCATTAAATATCCGTGAAATGGGAGCCAGGTGAACAGGAATTAAATATGTCCCTGTAATGGTGCAGAACATTAGGGAATATGGGGGAGGACACTGGAGCCCACCTTGCAGGATGGAGTACATTGTGTCATGTGACAGGAAATGGCTCAGAACCAGTCAAACAGGAACCTCCCCCGCTCCAAAGAAGACCATCGGCAACCCCTCCGGAACCAATATCCCCATTAAGCTCTTCAGTTTAGTAACACCCATAATTAGCTGGGTCCTGAGAAAATGGAGTCAATGTGAAGCGGAAGTGCACCTCAGCAAGGAGGTGGAAACCGGGGAACAGGACGCACCTTTCCGACGCAGGGGGCTAACAGGCCTGAGGGAGGGGCCAGGGCCCGCGTCTCTCCAAGGGAAAGGTCACAGAGGCGTCCTCCGGGGGGCAGACACACACAGGCAGACGGCCTGCGTCTCTCATTACTGCCGAAAAGGGCAAGTTTATTAACCGTGAAAGGTTACAGTACCAGTGAGGCATCCAGCTGACACTCACCGAGCCCCCCCACTCCCCATTAGCCCTACCGGGGTTTATCGAAGGATCAAGAGTGCTAAGATGGACAGTATCTTGCAGGATGTGCACACACACACACACACACACACACACACACACACACACACACACTTATGTTTGTACGTATACACAGGGAGGTGTCAGCAGTCCAATCTGATGCCAGTGTTTGTGACATTAAAAAAGGACAAACTCTTGCCCAAGTGTCAAAGCCCTCAGAGGTCACCGGCGTGGCTCGAGCTGGTCCAGGGTCAGTGAGGGCTTAACGACCCCATTAGTGGGGGCTGAAACTGCCCCGGGCTCCTGGTGTGAAGATGATTCAGGACCTGGATGACACAGAGGCCCAGCCGGCCGCCTGCCCACCATGGCACACCGGCTCCCCCTCCCCCTTCTGCAGGGGGGTGTTATTCAGCTTGACTTCGAACTGGACCTCCCAGTAGACAGCGTTTATGGAGCGCAGTCAAGCCAGGCCTTCTACATAGCTCTCGACAGATCCAAAACTACGTTTATTCGCCCGCTCTGCCATTTAGGTGCTCCTATCCGGAGCGACACTAAACAACTTCAAGATGAGCAAATTAAAGACACAAGCAATGCAAACAAAAGGTCAGCACAGAGAGCAGGCGAACGGGCAGGAGGAGCACGGAGAGCAGGCAGACGGGCAGGAGGAGCATGGAGAGCTGGCAGATGGGCAGGAGGAGCACGGAGAGCAGGGTGACGGACAGGAGGAGCACGGAGAGCAGGGTGACGGTCAGGAGGAGTACAGAGAGCAGGGAGACGAGCAGGAGGAGCACAGCAGGGAGACGAGCAGGAGGAGCACGGAGAGCAGGGAGACGGGCAGGAGGAGCACAGAAAACAGGGAGACGGGCAGGAGGAACACGGAAAGCAGGGAGACGAGCATAGAGAGAGCAGGGAGACAGGCAGGAGGAACATGGAGAGAGCAGGGAGACAAGCAGGAGGAGCATGGAGAGAGCAGGGAGATGAGCAGGAGGAGCATGGAGAGAGCAGGGAGATGAGCAGGAGGAGCATGGAGAGAGCAGGGAGACGGGCAGGAGGAGCATGGAGAGAGCAGGGAGATGAGCAGGAAGAGCTGAGGGTGAAATTGCTCTCCATGAAGTTACCCTCAGGCGCAAGCAGGGGTATCTAAGGTAGGTCTGCAACTTTCAGGAAGACTGAAAGCTCTGTAAATTTAACAGAACTGTGGAAAATGACATTGGAAAAATTCTTCATTGGGCAGCAGGTGGCGTAGCAGTTAACAAACACAAAGCTGAGGCCCAGTGAGAGGAAGTGAAACCTCAGACTAAAATGTTCACAGATACAACTTGGGCTGGGCAACACATCAATGAAATATTGTATCGTCAATATCAGCATTCAAATCGGCATCAATTTGAGTATCGTATCGTATCGTGATATATAGCTAACACTTTTTGTAGCATAAATAATAGTTATGCAAGTAATGCAATATATTTACATATTTACATATTTACATACCTTCATTGCTGGTACAATTTATCATTATATCCGTCACATGCTCCATTACTATTAGTAAAACAATTTTGGCATCGAAATCAAAAACACTCAAAACCAACTTATTGTTTTCTACATATGGATTTTAGAATATTATAATAAATATCAATATTGTACAAATCTATGAAAATATTGAGATACCATTTTAGGGCATATCGCCAAGCCCTAATCAAACCTGTTCCCTGGAATGAACAACGAGTGAGTCAGAGAAAAAACTCAGCGACAAAACGTACTGTCGTTGTTTTTTAGTTTTACAGCCGGCGACATATTTATTTATTTATTTATTTATTAAAATTAGATTTTAGTGGATTGAATTTGTCACCTTTCTTCATGCTCTGAATTGGTTTAAAGGTGATTCTAAGGGAATTTTTAAGCAAAAAGTGATTTTTGGAGTCAAGAAATAATGACTATATTGAGATAATTATCAATATGGTTTGACATAAAAAAAAATCATGATGATAAAATATTTTGCAATATTGCCCAGCCTTACATGACAGTGATCACACTGATCCACTATCTGACTGGCTTCTCCTTCAGCTCCCCCACCCCCCAAGCACCCTGCCATTCTCACAGCCATCATTCGGGAGCTGGAGTGGCTTCCTGACAGTGATTCAAATTAAAATTCCCAAGGAGGTAAAGGGGAAGAAAACAAAAGATGGACTATAGGAAGAATATTGGAATATCTGCACATAAAGCCAAAGGATCGTTATCACATTCAGTGTCTCAGTGCAGACGCCGGGAAATGCCCTTGAACGCTCTGCTCACAGCTCGCTTTTGGATACGTTTCCGGTGTTTCTATGAAAAACTGGATGTGATCTCCAGCTGGTTCCGCAGACGATGAGCATTCGGGAGCAAAGCAAGACTGAGCAACCATCCACGTCCTAGGGGCTGGGTCCCGTCCAGGATGGAAAGCTGCCCTCTGACAGCAGAGAATTCAGGGATGTATGGCCATCACTTTTACTTATTTTGGTGAAATGGACAAAAACCGACCCATTGAGCTTCCTTACAGAACCCTAACCCTAACCCCCCCCCCCTCTCCATATTTCAGAATAACAACTGAAACACACAGATGGAGAGACAGAGAGACATGATATGATGATTGATTTATGTGGCCTGAGAAATACCTCCGCAGCAGGGGCATTTCAGCAATGACATATCCCAGGCAGCTGTCTGCTTCAACGTTAGCAGTCAGGCACCTATACCTGCTAGTATGCTAGCCGCCAAGCATCCATCTGCTAGCAGCCAGGCATTTCACAGCTACCAAGTTAGCAGCCAAGAGTTTACCAGACAGCACATGAGCAGCCAGACATCTATACCTGCTAGTACGCTAGCCACCAAGCATCCATCTGCTAGCACATAAGCAGCCAAGCATCTATACCTGCAATTAAGCTAAACGGTTCTGCTAAATGGTTTTCTAGTTTTCTGTGCTGGAACGCTGTTAACTCGTGTGTGACCTCATTCCCAGTTCTTTAGTTCCAATCTCCGAGGTAAATGGAATGCAGTATTAGCCACTAAGCCTCAATACCGGCTAGCAAGTTAGTGAATTAGCAGCCAGGCATCTATACCGGATAGCAAGTTAGCTGCAAAGCATCAATACCAGCCAGTGAGATATGAGCCAGGCATCTATACCACTTAGCGTGTTAACCGCTAGGGATCTAAACCGGTAAGTGAGTTAGCCACCAGGCATCTATACCGGCTAACAAGTTAGCCGCCAGGCATCTATATCAGCTAGTGAGTTAGCTGCCAGATTTCCACCAGCTAGCAAGTTAGTAGCCATGCATCTATAGTGGTTAG